AAGATTGGTAGGGAATAGGAGTCATGTTCTGTAACTTACTTGATCTGTCACGCAATTTGCTAGGGTCTTCAAACGGTCCTCAAAGGCATCTATTTCACCTCGGACATGCACCCGTAACAACAACCCAAGGGCATTCAAGTACACCTAATTGAACAAGAAGTTAGGAATGAGAGATGCAAAAGAGCTGGTCATGTAAAAAATACTTGAAATAAACCTCTGGACATGCAGCATCAGGGTTCTCCAACTCCTTCCAGATACAATGGTCATATACATTTAGGATTGTTTGGATTGGAGAATGGCCTTCTAAATAACAAAGAGCTACATGCCACCAATTGTGTGTGACCCTGATAATCGTCAAACTTCTTAGCATCTAAATATCAAGTGAAGAGAAAAAAAGAAGTTCAAATTTGAATAAATTCAATGTGCGTACATAAATGACGAACAAGGATCCCATAAAGATGAGCACTCTTTCATAAACTCTACTGCTTCTTTAAAACGACAATCATACTGAAGAACATGGCACAACTGCATAACAAATTAAGAACACATGAATTACAACAATGAGTCAAGAACTTAAGCATTAGAAACTTCTTGTGACAACTAGCAGATAGTGATATAAAGCAAACTAGATAATTATAACTCACGTTATGGTGCACCCAGCAGTCTTGCTTGTTGATCTCATATCCCTTTTTTGCAGCTTTCTCAGCTTCTGTCATTCGGCCAAGTTCCAATAAAGGAAAAGAAAGCATGCCATATATGTAATTTTCTTGTTCATTATTGGGTAGAACCTGTTAGCAGATTGTTACAACAAGACAAACAAGAAAACAAAACAAGGATTCCCACCAAAAAAAGGTTCCACTAATATCTTAAAATGCTCAAAACCCCAGATAATGTGTGTTTCTATTAAGTCATAAACTATTATCCTTTGGATGAAATTGCTCAATAATTCATGCAAACATGGTTGGTAATAAATTAAGTACTCTCCACTATGTTCAACGAAGGTATAAACTTCACATATCCTCAACATAGAAATGAACCTGTTGAACAAGATCCAATGACAGATCAGGTCGAGCCATGTAGAAGCAGAGCACTTGGGCCCTTTTCAGAGAGGCCAGATCTTTAGGGAAACTTTTCAAGAGCTGCAAAAATAAACGAAATGAAATTTAATGAACAAAGCCTATAGAACAATAAAAGACTAAACTTATATTGAAGTACTGGAGACCGAAGCTTGGACAAATTACTTAAACCACACAGTATTTACTCCTATACTATTTACCACTACTAGTTCCAAAATAGGGAATATAAGAAATTCACCTATGGACCATTCCATTTTATTTATATAGATGAACAAGGGGAAACAAGCATTTGAAAACATTGTCAAAACAACTGAGCAAGATTATGCTTCATTAACAGCTTTTCATTTCTTGGGTTCAGGATGATATTTTTTTTTATCGGTTATGCAATTCATTATGAGAAATTGAGAAGATGTCACTAAATCATTACGGCACAGCGAGTTTTATGAGGAAAGTGATTGAGCAATCTGTAAAAAAACTAAATTGGCATTGAAGTGAAAAAAGTTTATAGTTTGAGGCAATGATCCGAAATATTATACAGATAAGCAGAACCAAACTAAAGGTGGGCAAGTACATTTCTGGATCATCTGCAATGAATAACCGCATGGCTGACCAAATAGTTAACATGGAGGGTGAAAATTGTGGAGAAAGTACAATTTAAAAGCTGTGGTGGGAAACCAAGTAAATAGGTATGCACATCAAGAGAGGAAAATCCCCACTACTAAAGAGGGTGGGTAGTGGGTCACCTTAGAATGCAACTCAACAGCAACATCATCATCTCTATTCTCAGAAATCAAACAATTGACAGCGTCAAAAACTGCTTTCTCGTATTGAGTAGCTTGCTCCTGTGCATAATAAATTTCCCATTACACCTCTCCAAGATTAATTTACAAAAGATGTCAAATTGTTCAACTTCAAACAAGCTTACCAGCCGAGACTTGGCTGCTTGGAGATGAGAA